TTCTATTTCATCAAGCTCTAGTCTCGGAAAGAGATGAACTTGAGAGTCTCTGAAGTGCTTTTACTTTTCCCGCACTTGTTTTAGGAGTGCCAACATCTGTAAAGGAAGTATTGCACAAAAAGTGCTCCTTTTTACCTCTTCTTTTAGAAACTCGGGCCAATTGGGACTCCGTTTGTGTACTCTGGATTGCGTCGCTAACTCTCAGCCCTTCTTTGCATAGATTCAACATTCTTTGATTCAGCCTTATGCCTCCTCCTTCTTTAAGGGAGCCTTAAGGCGCTCCATTAATGATAATATAAAGAAAACCCCATTCATAAAGTTGGCTACTGCCGGTTATGCTTCTGATAGTTACATTTTAATTAATTGGAAGAAGGACGAGTGCTGTGGACAGGGTAATCGGTGGCAATCTCCAACGGAAGGTCTGAAAACGGTGTCCAGCTTTGAAAACTGCTTCAACCCACTCGTGAGTGAAGTGGCTGTACGATACCTCAGTAACTCAAACATATGTGCCTGAACGAATCCCAAAAGGCCTTTTCACAGAACTGTTTCTATGCTAAGAAGTGCCTCAAACCTTGACCAGGGTTTCGCAACAAGAGATGAGAAAAATAATTGGTCCAATGCATTTCCTAAAGAGGAGGAAACCCCAGTATAATAGAAGTACTAAAATGGTGCAGTGTCTTTATACACGGATGCCTCACTTTCATGCATACTTGACGTATGGTAAGATTAATGCGTAAGCGCTTGACATTTGGAGCACCGTCTGCACTGTGATAGCCAATTGGTTGGAGCGCCGACGACCATGCTGAAAGACGAAGAGCTAGGTACTACTTTAGCAGTTTGCCTGACCCTCAGCGAATGCCTGAAATTCTGAGCACCTACTCCAGGTTGAGAACGCCTATGTCACACTGCGTCAGCTCTCATTCGTCTTTCAGTCAGGATTGAAGAGCGGCGTTGACCGTAAAAAGTGGCACATTCAAAGGGCATAGTGCAAGTGGCACCGGTTTTTAGTAACCTCGGTTTTGTTCCTCGATGCGTCGAGAGCGGACGAGATTCCCATGGCTCCGTAACGGTCTTAGTGGTTGCGGTATGATTGGAAGTTCATGCGAGTCGACAGATTAGACGATGGTTGTACTGGCCGGTTAGTTGATGGCTCAGATTTCTCATGGTGTTATAAGCCATGTCAAGGAAAGCGAAAACTGTTTGCGTAAGAAGGCAGGTCGCTACACCTTTGCGGTACAGTACCTGACTTACAAATGTTTCTTTACTTTTAAGCACGATTGTGCTTCGAGTGATCAAAGATGTGTGAATATCTGGCTTAAGCTTACGCCCCCACCTCATTTTGCGCCCCACTTAAACGATTGAATAGGCAAGTTTAACCTTACCGATTGGGACAGGAACTACAATTCTCAGGAAATACTTTATTGTTTAGAGAATTTAGGAAACAAAGTGAAAGATCTGAACCCAGACTGATTTTCCATATATTTTAATTATGAAACTTTCGTGTGGTGCAAAACAGAAATTATTTAAATGTGCTTTCAAGGCAAGGGTCGGAATTTGAACTCAACCCATGCAATGTTTTGTAATACGCGGCCGCCTGATGTCTGGCAATGGCTTCGTCATTGTGCTCGTGGACTGACCTTCGGGCTTTGACAAGGCCCAATCCTTTCTTACCCTTCCAGAATACAGGAATTCAGAGAGAAGTCGCGGGACACCACAGCACCCGCTCTGGAGGTACGGAAACAAGAAATATGCGCTCTTCCCTTTTCTACAGTACTACCCACTCCATTGTACTCACCATTCCAAATAAAGCTCTCCAAAGTAAATGTAGCATTTCTTCCTACGCCTCTCCCTCTGCCTTCCATTGCAGACGGGGTGCAAAGGTAATGAAAAAAAACGGAGAGCTGAATTTGGCATTGTGAGTACAATGGCATTGGTAGTGGGGTGGATCTTTAACGGCCTCCAAGGGAGTACGTCTGATCCTCCCTAAACATGTTCGAGCTAATACCTATCTCATGATCATAGCAATTATGCAGGAAGGAAGGAAGGAAGGTGAGGAGTGAGCGGAACTTGTAGCTGTTTTTTTTTTGTAATTTTTATGCATATTTTTCGGTTATGCGGGCTGAGCATTGACCAACCCCCAATTCCCTAGGCGCGCACTTCAAAGATTAAAGTACGATAAGCAATACAATTGTTAAAGTATAAGGAAAGTGTGTGCATATATAGAGTGTACAGCCGTCAGACAACTTCGACAACGTGCATAAAATTGCAAAGTTTATAGAGTTGCCTTGTAGGTAATGGAGTTGATCTTTCAGCATGTCACTGGTAGCTGTAAGCATTAAACATGGTTAAAATATGCATTCAGCGAGAAAGGAAAGAAGAAGAGCTTCAGCTCATCCCCAAGATAATTCCACTTAGTTGAGGCCACATGACCACTACAGCGACCATCAGTCATACAGGTAGTCGAATAAACGATGGATTACAGCCACGGAGGGAAAATTTGTTTGCTTTTAAAGGCGTAGCAGATAATTAAAAGAGATAAAAGATAAAAGAGTAAGGCTTTGTTTGTATTTTGACTGCCAGGCTTGATCAAGAGCTATCGAATGATCATATAATATTTGTCAGCTTGACATGCCTCCGGAGTGTCCAAAAATTCATGTAATTGTGTCCTCTGTGGTCTTTAAGGAAGTCTCGAGAAGCCATAAGAAAGTGAATCATACTGTTACCCAATTTTCTTTACACACTGCGCCAAAGCTGTAACACTTATTCATTCGACTACTCGTATGATTGGCAGTCAAATTTGCAGCCTTCTTGATTCTATCATGGGGGTTAGTCTTCGAGTTTGGTAACAGCTTCACTTCTGCCCCTTCTTAATGAATCTAAGCACTCAGCAGTGCCGTTTGTCTTCTATGATCAAATGGAAAGCCTTCAGACGCTATATTGGTAGCAGTGGGATGTTAACTTGATTTTGTTACGACTTCCATTCTGGCGCCCAACGTCAGTGGCATATGTCTCCAGTGCGACGGAAATGCATGGATTCGGGCAGCAGAAGCCCCTACTTCTCTACAGCGTAAGGACAAGAATAGCGTCTACATTCAGCATCTACCCAATTTTACCGTGTTTCACAAGCAAACTATTAACGACTGAATTAATACCACTTTGAACCATGCAGGAGGTTTCGTTTCGCTGCTTAGGCGACTCAGCAATGGCATTACGCTACACCTTTCTTTACGGGAACCGTGTTACATCCCGTTTCCTTCCTCATGCATCCGCTTTGGACCAGTGTTCCAACGTCTGACCCTCAACAGAATTGGGCTCTTCCTTATTTCCCTAATTTGACCAAATGCGATTGCAGAGCCAATCGAAGGTGTTGAGATTGTGAAGTCCTTTTCGCAAATTCATAGGAGTCAATAATCAGCGCGGCTGGCTCGTGGGTGTTATATTGTGGTACCAGACGCATTGTGATAGTTGGTTGGATAGGTGAACGGGGGAGGTGCTACCTGTGTCCTTGATCAATGGATAATTGTGACAATGATTTTGCTCTGTTTACCCGACCACCTTTATATGCAACCCCACGTTCTCCCCTTCTGTCAAAATATGGTTTCTTAGTCTTGTCCAGTGCCATCCATTACCATAAGAAATGTCTGTAAACACATTATAAATGCTGTAACACTTTGCATTACAAGTATAATACTACGTTTGGCAATCATTTTTAAAATTGTCAAGTTCTTGTACGCGTGGACTGGTCTTAAGGTTGAACTCAGGGCTAGTGCTATGTTCACCCTAGAATATATGTATCTAGCTTTACTTACCGCCTTATTCTACCTTGTGGGAAGTCTCAAGACGCCGCGAATGCAATTTTTGATCTAGATCAAGGAAGCGTCTTAAGTTATTCAAATATACCACCGTTTATGTCGGCACCCCAGACAATATGGGACAAAAGTCGGTCATGGGTGTAATATATATTAGTTTGTTTAAGTGTACTTTTATAGGTGAGAGGCGGGAACCAATTTGGAACATGAATCACGTGCGCGAAGCCGGCGAGGAGTCTACCTTCGATTGATATCTCCTACTCACCTCATCTGTATCCCATTCCCCATCTTTCCTAATAACAATGCATAATAAGTCATCTGCAACCAACTGCCTCTTGAATTCTGAGGATCAGAGACCAGAGGGTAGGCAGGCAGCTCCTACAAGGGGTGATTACACAAAATCCCATGCAACAAAGCCAGTTTATTGCATTTCATATAACTAACAAATTAAAGAAGCAAACAGATATATGTTCGTAGTTATTTAAAAGGATCTTATTACCTATCCTTCGCAATTCCGGACAACAAAGCAAATGTTATTAGTAAAATCACTATTTTTAGCATGAAATTGCAGGCAACTATGTATTTTTTGATGATTATAAAAAATGAGAATTGAGTAGCGATACTGATACACTTTGAAGGTTACATAAGCATGTCAATAATCTGATAGGCTCTGCCTCTACCCATTTAGTTACAGGCTGAACGCCGCTGGTTGAGGTGTGCCTTCATCATCAGTTGTTTCTTTACCTGTAATAACTCCACTTTATGTTTCTTGTGGACCCAAGCATACATTCGCGGAAGGATTGGCGATTAGCTTAGTAGTTTGTGGTATTTTTCGTTCATTATGGGCCCTAGAACTTGGTTATTCTTGGAATCATTGCCATTTTTCTGAGCAGGGAGCAGTGAATTATCTACGTAATTTTCTCGGTTGTTTATCATCATTTGCAGAAGTGTGTAGAAGTATTTTACACTATATAACTGAGTAGTCAACAAATTATGTGCGGTTGAGGTCAGTCCACTCTAGAGTCATGGGTTATTTTTTGCAGAAATGGTATGATATTGCTGAAATAAGTTCACATCCTCATTCCCATTAAGTGTCACTAATAGTATGGAGTGCTTAATTTAAAGCGCATCGGATTCAATCGCTGTCAAGTGCACCAATTTATCTTCTTAGAATTAAGTTCTGCCTAAAGTCATGGGTCCCTTCACTTCCTCTTCGTAGATATGAATGAAGATCTCATCTACGATACCTCTTTATTGTGGCATGCAACACTCACAACTCTCACTCAAAAGGGTGATCTATGGAGAGGTCCTCTATGTTATGAGGAGATAATGAAAACGTTCAGTCTGTTTTACACTTACGTAACCTGCGAACAAAACGGTTGGTTCCGCTATCTGCTTTAATTTGCCACCTCATGTATGGGTTCTCATACTCCATTTTTAAAGGTACGCAGAGTGACCGATGTGTTCTCAAGTTTCGATACAAGAGCGACTATTCGGTTGAGGAAAACTTATGGGGCTCTATCGAAACCTATAAACGCCTCCTTGGCGTCATCATGTTCAATCAGTGTGAATTAAAGGCTGATCTCCGATCGGCCTTGGAGCAGTTCTCATCCATTCTTGTAAGTTTCCTACACAAATTTTGGATGATTTACAAGTAGCTTTTCATGGTCAATGCCATTAGAAAGCTGTTCTTTAACCAGCCACCTCCGTTACCTTAGCTACTCTAATTGATGTAGGAATAAATAGAATGTAGTGTTGAATCTTAAGCTTTTTACTCGTAAGCTTGTTGGTTTTCGCCCTGGTTATCTTTTTATTTATTTGTCACGACCGCGTTCCGGTAGTATTGGAAAGTCTTTTTCTGTTGATTATCTGAAATCGCTTTTACTAAGGCGAATTTCAGAACTACGTTGGTATCAGCTCTCCTCGTCATAATTCTTCACAATGAATCAAACAGCAAACTTCGCTTCAGGGATCTTACCAAAACCAACAAAGCAATGCTGAATAAACTGAAGGATGTGAGTTCTTCGACATCATTCTACGGCTGCTGTTAATGGTTTAGACATCCATTCTATTTTGGAGCTTAGTTTAGTTATTTGTGTTCTTTCTACTGACGTGAATTAAATAACCATGCTTACATTCCTAGTCGGCAAGTGATCTGCCTTCATACAGTGAAGTCGTGGTACTACCGGGAAATGGATTTCAAGACGAACAAAGCTGCATGCAAACGTGCACCAATAGCAGCAGCAGTGGGGTGTATCAACGTTATTATCGCTTCAGTCCTCTTCTTCACAATATTCTCCGCGACACTCTCTTACGTGAGGCTCAGTCTCTGCGTTTAAGCATCGTAACTTATCTGAAGAGTCATTTCACGCAGTCAAGATCACCACCGTCATCACCCACAGTCGTCGTCCCCGCCCACAAAGGCAAATGTTTCAGTTTTCCAGGGCGACGATCTGCCTTCTTGGTGGGTGTGAGTATTGACGAGGTGATGAAACCTTCGGAACTCAGTGGAGATTTGTCAGAACCATTGAACTCTTCCCTTCAATGGGCTTCACAATTTGGCTCACCACTGTAAGTTTATCGTACCTTCCTGTCCCTTTGAGCTTGCTACCAATGTTTTTCAGTAGTTTATAACTTCAGTTAGCCGAAATTCCCGTAACTCGATGTCTCTGTAAGGAACTATACGAGAATACAGAAAGCCCCCTTGCCGAGGGAGTTACTGTTCAGGCTACAAATGTAACCAATTCTCATCAGCAAGTTTGTGGAACTTTAGCTTCTTTCCCGAGTACGATTCCAGTAGCCCCTGTGTACTTTGCGGCACTTAGGATTGTTAAGTGTGCCTCCAACGACTTGTGTAACTGGGCGTATTTGATGATCTTTATGACAAATGAGTCCTACCCTTTTCACTGAACCTCTTGGACCCTATTTTTTTACGTAGCTGTAGTTATTTCCTCTTGCTGCTCGTTTACTTAAATTTTGAAGTCTTTCTGTTCTAACTCACGGGCTCAGTGTCGGAATTTCGATGTAGATAAACTTTGGCTCCTTTCATTTGAATGAGCTATCGGGTCCAAGGAGGACAAATTAGCTTTCAGAATTAATAAGTTCAGGGTACTGTTAAGTGGACTTCTATAGCTAGACGGGGTCGAATGAAGTAACTTTCTGCTTATATGGGCTCTAGCTTATCAGGAATTCCCTGAAGGCTAAAGAGGGCGTAGTACTTAAACATAATGTGCAGTATTGTCGTGAAAGATTGGGTTGGCCAAGGCACAATGTCAAGGGCATCTGTTACTGAATTTGGCTTAGTCAAACAGCTGGTGCTACATCCACCCCTTCTGAAACCTACAACTGAGTTACTGAAATTTAAACTTTAATACATCTCATTGTGTCTTCATTACGGTGAAAACTGTGAAGAAGCAATCTTGGAGCAGACTTCTAGTAATTTATAGCTTATAGCTGGAATAATTTTTTCCTCTCTCCCTCAGTTGATGCGATTTGCGTCACCTCAAGCTCTACTTCTTGATATGTGCACCTGAAGAGATAACTGTGTACAATTGAGCATTTAGGAAACGGGTAAATGTAATCCATTTCATTTTGAACACTTTCAGTAGCACTTTCATGGACTAATCTCTGGTTACCATTATTTGAGTGGGACCTCCGACATGGATCAAGTTTTTTTGCGAACTAAAATGCTTAATCTATGGTGCCGACTGTTCGTTTCACTCCCCTTGCTGAAACTTTATTTGTGTTAGCATGATAGGTGAATTTGTTTGGGACTTTTTTCCCAAATCGTTATGGGGAATTATTCCTGGGAGAAGCTAAAGGTGCGCTTAACTGAACCTTGGTCGTAATTATATCTGTCGCAGTCTATTCGCAATGCTATTCTCTTGAAACATCTGTATTTTAGTTCTGTTGAAAGTCGGCAACGCCTATGTCGGATGAATAAGCTTACAGGCGATCTGTTTGTCCAATTGGGTGAATTTGAGGTCGGTCAGTGGTACTACCGCAACGCCATACGCTACTCCTCTCGCAGCGATCCAGCCATCTGGCAATCGGGTAGGTTGCCCAATCACCTAGTAAACATCCTCCCTCTTTTTGCTTACTAAGAATACGTATTTTAACTTGTTCCAGCACTTCTCACTGGATTTGCTGCTGCACTCTACCTAAAGGAAGTCGATGTTTTCGGTCGAAATCGCTTCATTGATCCGTGCTTCTTCAGCTGCAGCGCTAAAAAACCATCGGAACTCCTCTCGCCCGTACTTGATACTACTGGTGCCAATATTTGCTTTGTTTTTAATCTTTTCTTACACGCGTTCATAGTCTCCACTTGTGTTCTGTACTCAGATTATATCACTGGACTGGATCTGGCGACCACAAAGAAACAGGACTCAAAATTGCCGCAAAACGTATCTCACGCTCTATTTCGTGCAATTCAGTCCATCCAAAGTTTGCGCAAAGTAAGCCCACTTACGCATTTCCAGCGACGGCAATTAGAACCACCGGTCAAAGGGCATTTAATGTATTCCAATGTTATATTTGCGGTCTAGGCTTCTTCGGTTCTGCGGTGTGTGATTGAGGTTATGTATAAAAACGCCGACTATCTTGTGACTGTTGCGGTAAGTTCTTTTCAGTGTTCGTTGCTAGGGCATTAAAACTAACATTTTTTAACCCATTGTCTACATTTCCCTGCCTGCAGAAAAGGAACAAGGCTATTCGTGCCCTCATATCACTCCAAACAGATCTGATTCCCCAAGGGGTATGCAATTTCTTTCTTAATTCAATCACCTCATTTGTTTATTCGTAGCTAAAAATGCAATTTGCGCTTCTAAAGCCTGTTTGATCTTTGAATTTACTTCAGTCGCGTTCACATGACTCCTTTTTTTCACCATGACTCGTTTTACATCTTGTCTTTTTCACCCTTCATCGGACTTGATTTAAACACCTTGAAGGAAATTCATGAAGATAATTATGTTACTTTGAAGATTGTCAAGATGTCATGCAGTAGGCAGTGGTTCGCTTTGTTCGGACTCGTTGCCTGTCTCTTATGAGACTAATTTTCTGCAACGATAACTCAAATAGTGTTGTGCTGCTTTTGTCATTTCTTCTTGCTGTCTACTCGCAATGGCATTCAGTGCGAATCATTAATGGATTGCATAGGTGTGCCTCGAAGCACGATTTAAATATCGTTAAGAGCATATATTTTTATGTGAATCAATCCTTTCGGCGAAAGAGGAACAAGGTTTTGGATGACCCTAAGTATTATATGCCTTTTTTGCTTATTTGCAGCATATTTCTATCACAAAGCTGAGAATGACTTTCATCTACATTTTATTTCGTGATTCCGGCTTGAGCAGGAGTTCATACAAATACTGAAAAAGCGGTTTACCTTCGATCTCATCGTCAATACACCACCACGGATCGTTATTCATCTTGCATGTTTTTACAGAATGCCTTCATTTTCGAGCGCTTTCATGTGCTGGCCAACCTCTACGTACGTCTGGGCCTGCGCCACAAGGCAGGTCTGCTGCATTATATGTTGGAGAACAGTTTATATGATGTCTACCCACTTCCGCACGCCCGCCCTCCACCCTCTCTAACTCGTGTCTCGGAGAGTTGCTACGCCTTCATCCGTCGTTTCATCTCAAGTTACCTTGGCTCTTCCTATCTCACTGAGGCCTACCGGTTGCATGTCTCTCCTTCCGGTTTCCGTCGTGCTTTTGATAATCCTATTGGCATGGCTTTTGTCTGCTCTCTTGTCTCACCTGCTGTCGACCGTGAAAACGCTGCCACCACCTCTTCTTCCACTCCTGGCTGGCCCGCATTGCAGCGTCAGTTACTCGTCTCGAGTATTAACAAGATTCGTATGGCGGTTGAACAGTCCAGTGGCACCATTGCTGAGGCTAATTGGGAACAGTGTATTGGATTGTTGGGGTAAGACGGAAAATGAGGCTTCTGAAGTTGTGCCTTTAATTACAGTGGCTATACTTAAAGTCGCAATTCACTTTGAATGATTCTTTTTAGCATTAATGTGCTTATAACCTTATTATCTTTTTTAGTCACATCTTACTCCTGATCTTTTTTCCCACAAAGCTATGTGTTTTCCTTGATCAACGGATGGCACAGAGGCTTGTCGGCACCCGATTTGTCCGGCTACATTGAAATTCTTCAGATTCTGGCAAAAGCAAAGCCAGTAGATCAGCCGTCCCTTCCAAAAGATCTCTCTGATGGGTTGCCGTTCTCACCTGATCATCCTGTAGAGGTGCCTGAACGAATCCCAGTTCGTTCGTCTTTCGGCAGACCTCTCAGCTCTACCCTACATCCTCTCTCAGAGCTGATTGAACTACATGTAGATAAAATGCCCATTGTCCGGTAGGCTAGTCCCATCTCAAGCGCACTTTAGACTACCTATTGTCGTTTCACCAAATTGCCTTAGGTGTTTTTTTTCCTGTTTACTTACCTCAGACGGTGCTCCTGGGGATGAACACAGGAAATTTCGAGAATTGGTAGATAGCTTTTCTGTGCGGCTTCATTTGTGTTGAGCAACCTCATGAAGGAAAGAAGATCTGTTTAAGCACTGGCTGATTTTGAACGTCTGCTCCATTAATTCTTATCTCCCATGTTATGTCTTCATTTAATGGTCATAACCGTTTCTTGTTAAGTACACGCGAAAAACCATTATCGTTGAGAATAGAAAGCAGATAATTAGGTCAGTGAGCCCTGGAGTTGGCTTCTCTGTAGCTTCTAGGGTTGAAGTATTCTGCTGTGTGAGGTTACGGTTAGCTTGTTTGTTTGAACACGGACTGTAGGTCATATTGATGGCTATTTTAGCAAATAAATGTTTTGAGCTTAGTAATTAGGAACTCTCCACTCATATCGAGATTGAAAAGTGGTTTAATTTGGTTAATCTTCCCGAAAGTATTCACCAAATGCAGCTAATGGTTTGTGAAACATGGGTTTGTATAAGTCCTCTGGGTAAGCTTGTGGCTGTAAAGACCTAAGCTGTGTGCACTTTTGACAACCTCAAAGGTCGTCTCAAAGTGTGCCATGGATTGCGTATGCAAAAAGTTTGTGTAACTTTCTTAAGCATTATGCTCTGTCATTTGGTCATCAATATTTATTAACACAAAGAAAATGTAGTTTGGAAATAGCAACCTAACATTTATGAAGGCACCGACCATCTGCGTTTCCAGAGGCCTGTCCATTCAGACACCGCTACCGCACAGCCTTCCTGCACGTATGTCCTACGAGGCTCTCTCCGGCATGGTCGCATTTGAGGAGGCTACCTGGGAACGTCCAGTCCCTTATAGCCGACGAAAGACCTTCTCAAGACAACCAACTTTTATCACCAATCCTTTTCAGCTTTCTTCATCAGGTGCGCCTGTTGTTTTGCAAATGACTTCCATCATTTGGACACATTGACACAATTGGCACATTAAACGCCATATTACAGACATGATAACAGGATTCATGAAAATTGAAGGCCTGGTGCAACTTAAAGCGCAAGTAGAACGAATACCTTTGCATCGCAGTACCTTTAGTTGTAATTGCTCCACATTTTTGCGTGGATGGCATTTTCTCGTCGTGATTTACAAACGTAAGCTCTCAAGCATTATAGTCCATTGACCCAGGATTTCTGTCTTGTAGATACCGTTGACTGGGTGTGCAACGACCTCGGCTATATTGACGTTGATTTTGACAATCCCTTCACCATACCACTTGAGTTGAATGATGTGGTTAGTTTTTTTCTTTTCACTTTAATTCAGTTGTCACATGTTCAACCATGCAAATCACGGTGTGTTGCAATTAGCCGCGATTTTTAAACTGAAGCTGTCACACTGGAATCCCTTCGATGGTATTTTTTTTGCTATGGTTACTGAAACATTTTTTTTCTTATATCACATGATCATACGACGCTGATCCCCACATCATCAAAGAATCACGCTTGCATTGCATGTTTAATCTTATTTGTGTTTGTGTCAATTGTCCTACATTCATTTTTAATAGTTGACATCGGTAATTTGGGCTTGTCAAGCTGTACAAAGAGGTACTGCGCTCTTTTTACGACATCAGATCTCAGTGGTCAAGGGAACCATAAATCGTCTTAAATGTTAGAGCTCCCAATCCAATGCAGACTTAGCTCCCATATTTCATCTCCTTTTGTAGTGTTTTGAGTTCATTGAAGATACAGATGATTCTTCTGCCCAAACAGTAACAGTCAAAAGCGTTCAAATTATTCCTGCACCAGGACCTCCCGAAGTGCGTCTCATTGCTAACTCTTCGCTTTAATCTGGTATTTTGCTCTTCTATAGGCATGATTGTTTTACTCTCCCATTCACTTTGCTAAAAAAGAGTGTTGCTAAACTCGTTTTCTGTTATCATAATTTTTCCTCTCCGTTTGGTGCCTTTTAGAATGAAGTGATCCTTAAACCCTTTTCAGGGTGCCTACTTGAGCAGGTTCCCTTTTATCTTACTTACGGCATTACACCGGGTGCTCGAGGCTATACCGATAAAGTCGTCCTCGCACCCAACTCTACGCGAAACCGTTTTGTTTTTGGCCTCATCGTGCCCTGCAACCTCTCTGAGCTCGAAACTGATAGGGTCTGTTCGCCTTTTTGCTGATCATAAGAAAACAAACTAGTTTCCGTTCTAACCGCTTGTGTTTTTCTAGTGGAGAGTGTGCGCTATCTCCTATACTCTTCTCACGTTTGGTGGATTCCGAGTGCGATTAACACTGAAAGGTTGCAAAAGTAGCAGCTGTACTCTCTATCAAACCCCACAGGAAGCGCTCCATTCCATAGAAGGTGGGGTGAAGACACATGTAACGATGACGCATATGGCTCTACCTCCACCGATTCGCATGTGTCCTCCGCTGCCGCGTCTCTGCCTGCTTGCAGGAGCCTGCACGCACGAGCAAGTGGATCGAGTAACGCGGCTCCCGCATGGATCCATTCTCGACAGTATGGCCACTATTGTTCCCTCCTTCTCACCGTGTCTTCGATTGGCTAGCGGTCTCAACAACCAAGAGACCAAACATAACATATGCGATGTGAGTCTATGTACATGTATGTACATGAAAAACCATTAAAGCCACAGTCAGAGACAGACCAACAGTGATACAAAAAAGCTTGTTGTCATCGCTGATTATCGTAGTTTATGCCCTACTACTTCTCTTCGGATCTCAGATGTGTGCATGGTTGAATGTTGCACATTCACAAAAGTGGTTGATGTATTCTCATTTCCACTTTCTCTCGTGGAAAATGATTGGCTAAATGCATGCTTCTGGGAGGCATACTGCAAGATATATGTTGACGCTAATTCAGAACTAACATACATTTGACACTTTTGGTTGTTGTGCCGTGTCACCATTAAGAGCATCTCGAATTGTTTAGGAGAAGTGATTTATTGGATAGCTTTCACTACCATCTCTTCAGCCACAATGTGTATAACTCAAACATCCCTACAGCGTAGCTTTTAAGGTGCACCATTTTTAAATCTTTACTTCGAGCATGGGCTTTGATTGTTAAGCTCTATTGAGGAAGCCCCAAATGAACTCACCCACTTCTCTATTCTACCTGCCTAAGATAATTGTCGATTTACATCCCTACGAGACGCGTTGGCTACCAATTCAGCTCTTTGTGGGAAAGAATGCTTGCAGCCTCGCTGAGACCCTGAAAATGAGTCACGATCGGCACCCCTGCGAGAGCGATTCCTATCTCAACATCCTTCGCATCTCTCTCCAGGCCACTCTAAGCGCTAACAAATTTCTGCAGAAGTACAATCTGCTCCTGGGACAGTTCCTTCAAATTCCCAATGTGCTTAATGTCAAGCAGAAGGCAGGTCCAGCCTTTCCTCCTTTTATGAAGTGATTATTTGATCGCTTAACCAACCTGAGTAAATGCGGCGACAGAAAATGTCTACCCGACCGGTATCAGAATGAGTATATAGTAGTTTCCTAGGTACCATTTGGGTTGCCTTTTACCACTTATATTTGTTTATTAAGTGCATATCTCTTATTCCTCCTCTTCCTTCAGCTGCCACTTAAGTTACCTTCCATGAACGCCACGACTCACTGTCGACTAGAGGACTGCAAGGGCGATGGCTCTTGTGGAACACTGTGGTTGAAAGTGGACTCGGGTGCTTTCTGGGACGCTTGGTTCAATGATCCCTCAGCATCTCAGTGTCCTGACCCTCAATCTCTTGTCGCCCAACTCTGCATTGAATTCGCTACCGATGTTGCACCGGCCGCTACGCGGGAGGAGAATTGGACTCGTGTCGTGATTGGTCGCCGTGCCAGGGTTGGCATTGAAATTCGCTTCCTAACCTCTATCGTTGCACCCATCCGCATTCTCAGTCCTCACCTCAGCCATGAAGCTTTGGCATCCGACAAATCAACCGTTGATTGTATCTTCCAGTTTAAGCTGGAGAGTGTGTTGTCACCAGAATTGAAGGTAAGAGTTTGTTTGGCTGTCATTTGAATCGTTTGTTTGTAATTCGAGTCCTATTTGATATTAATTGTGAAAGCAATGATTTTGTATCGCCTCCTTCTCCTAGAATGTGATTCAACCATCATTGCACTGTCGCTTCTATCGCATCGAGGTGGAGGTTCAGTTTTTTTGGTGCAAGAGTAACCATTTCGTCCAGAACAATCTGAAAGCTCTCTCTCTGGCTACGCAGTGGACCTCCTTTTTAGTTAACGAAGATGCAGGAATTGAATGTGAAGGCGCAAGCATTGATGGAATGTTGGTCGGTCTCATCCCCTCTGAGGCGCCTGAGGTTGCGCAGGGCCAGAGCTCGGTGGGATTGCCTCTTATTTATCTCCTTGAAGTTTTTAAACAGGCTAACTTCCCACCCGTTGCTGTTGCGACTCGCCCCACTGATGAACTCCTGCTACCACTGCCGCTACCGCATTGCCTCGGACGTTTGTTGGAGAATATGATAGAGGTCTTGCGATTTTATTTGTTATTAATCTCTGGACCATAACAACTTCTGTTCATACTTGGCTTTTAGTTACTTTCGAGACTTATTTTTTATAATCCTATCTGACAAATAATTACGCAAAAACGTTAACTCTGGAAGTCGAAAACTTTGTTTGTCTATTTAGTCCTTTATACAATTTTGTTCATGAATTAAGCACTGCTAATCCAGCTGTTAGGCTTACCAAAATATTTGCAAATTGTTTGGTAGGATAGATTCCTTCAGGGTATACATGAAACTTATCATGGACAACTTGAGGTTCCAATACGTCATTCATCATTCGACTTTACGACTCCAGTACTGAGAAATCCATCAGGTATGCTGTCCTTCATTTGTCAATGCTGCTTACATTCCCTTTTAACTGTTGTGCATTCAGATACGTTGGACTGCTCGAATGGTGCTGAATGTGTCAACCTCAGGTGGCCAGTGTGCTTCACCAAGCGTTCAAAATCATTTCCTACCAAATTTACGCAGTGGTCGCATTGTTCCTCTCTATCCCATCCTTCCATCAGATTCATTCTCTCCTCCGTGGTATTTCCCACTCCTCAAAAGTCCTCAATTTGTTGCCAGCATCCTCTGGAAGAATAAAATATGGCTTCGTAAGTTATGATCCTCTAACTAAAACTGCTTATTAAACAATTTTTTAATTTTGATTCATCAATTTAAGTTTTAACCCATTCACATTTCAAGTCCATATCTTTGAGTATCCGTAGGCCTTCAGTGTACCACCATTGTCCCTTCCGTCCTCGTTCTCAGCGACGCTATTCAAGAACGCTTTTTTGACTCGCGAGCCAGGCCCATATGATCTTGTAGATAAAGTCTTGATTACAACAATTATTGAGGCCATTCACAACTTCAGAAGCGTATGCTTGCTCTAATGCCTCATGCTTTTTTTTAACTCCCTCTTCGAATCGTATTTATCAATAGTACGTATGACTGCACTTTATATGACATCTCTTCACGACCAGGCTATCCAGAGAGCATAAATGGAATCTGGCATCCTCAATTCTCCTGGAGGTTCTTATTGTACCCTCACCCTCCTGGTACACCAGGGACACGTAGGCAAACTATTAACTTGATTGTACTTTGAACCGCCCCATCAAGACCTCTGCCTCCCTGAAGACCTACTTTATTTTTTTTCCTACTTAGAAAGGTTGACACACATTCTAGACCATTTGAAACTTTCCGTCAAGATAAGTGGGTGAAATGGCATTGCGTGTGTCTGAAGCGGATTATGGTGGCAAATGACTACATAAAACTTCTAAGTATTCCGATTTATGGAAAAGTACACACAGTACAGTGCGGTGATTATATGTCCACTACGCGTTTTCAGGATGACGGAACCCCCTCCATTTATGCCCACCCCGGTTTCCTGTTCTCAGCTTGTCATTTCTGGGAGTCTAATGCGAAAGGCACTAATTTAGTTTCAAGGAGGCAAATTGTTAATGGGAGACTAATCTGTGCAGGTTGCGTATCACCTTGGTCTGTTCTTGATCAGCATAGCAGGCTATCCCAAGATGTTTTTGTTCTAGTGACAATCTGATGCACCCAAGCTTCCTGATTTAGAGCATAACAGTCGTTTTAAAATGCAACAGGTGCAGTTTTTGTTGGTCTAGATTTTGTTCTGGTGAATCTGGAAGTCCCAACTTTTCTTTATAGCCTCCCATTATCAATGTCGCCTTTAAACATACTGTAACTAACACTTTTACTATTGCTGATATCAGAGCTGGTGCAGCGCTTTCACGACGATGTGCCGGTCTACACATCACAGGAGTGTCCAGTGTGCCGTACAACTGCAGCTGCCAGCAAGGAACCGTCATTGCCTTCGCGTCGTAATGCCTCCATGGTCGATGCAATGGCAACGCATGTCCCAGCGCACCTACCCGCAAGCATGCCTTTGGAGATGTTTGGTGGCATAGAGGATGATCAATTTTTTAACAACCTGCACGACACTTTAGCCAAGCAGTTTAGCCCATTCGTTGGTGCGTTATCCCACCCTCTGTCCCCTTCTTTACTAAGGCCATGGAGCTAAACCTATTGTTTGAAACCTCCGATTACAGATGCTTCTCGCAGAGCTTGTGTAGACCTCTCCGAAACGAAGGCTGATTTTGTCACTGAAGCTGCTCTCATGGCGAACTTGCAGCACGGAATTGTGATGCACCGTCTCTGGATAGGCCTCAGTGTCTTTGAGGCAGATGAGAGTGGTAAATATCTCACCACCTCCAGGCCCTTGCCCGAGGGCACTGAGTTTATTCTGAGTGGATGTCTCGGAGGACAGATGGGTGTAAGCTTCCGTATTTCCACTCATTCGTTTTCCTTTTTGACCGGCATAGACGTTAAACTCAATTTATCATTGAAAATGTCTTTGAGGTCAGTGGTGCAGTTCCGAGCGGATGAAAGTCTGCGTGGTTAGAACCAACATAGTTCTGCTCTTTTCCCCTCATTTAGCTACTCACGGGCAGGCGCACACCAGTTGAGAAAACTGAAGTTAGCGGCTCATCTCACAGCAATGCGGCGCAGTCGCTAAGAGGATCATTAGTGTTTACTAGAACGGGCAACTTCTTCGTTCGTGGATTCGTTCACCTCCTACCACTACCATCTATAGATGCAGAAGATCCTGCTCCAGAGCCTAAAACAGCACCCACCTGCACCTCCTCCGTACCCATACGGGAGACCTCCCACTCCTTTCTCTTTCATGTGCGTGAATAGCCCCTTGGACGTCCCCAGGTGTTGCTTCCGGTGACTGTGATAAAACTGTTTTTTGCAATATTTATACCGCTTCCTTTAATGCCACTCTTTTGGCTGTGAAGACCCCTCTGCTTGTTCATTACTAACAAGGTGAGGACTTGGTAGTCGCTTGTCCTAGTTTTGAAAACAAAGTTCACTGCGAACTCAGGCATCTTCATTGTTCTATTTTTATATTGCGATTGAATAATCTTCGCTCACTGCAAACCCGCACAATAGCACGAGATTCAATAACGAAACCCATTCGGGGTGGTTTTAATATGTGAAGGTTTGTGTTGTTAACAGACCTGACGCCTCCCATGCGCTTCTCGTGGGGTTGACGCCTTGACTGCCAAAGCTTGGGAATAAATTGAATTCGAGACGCGTGATTGCAAATGCGGTAGCTCAAAGTCCAATTGCAGCCTACTCTCTGAACCCCTCGCATTGCGGTAACGGATATTGGATGCTAAGCCTACATGTGAACAAAGCGAGGACAGTACGGCTGCTTGGGTTTGAACTTTATAGATGACCGTTTCGCCTTAGGGTAGTTGGTGGTAAAGGGGCCGCCTTCACAAAGCTGAGTCATGCTTAAGTACTTTATTAAAGTCAATAAATCTATTTAGAAAAAAGTATTAAATACAACAGCTCTGAAGAAGCAAAGATCACGTAGTGAAAAGCATTTTTTGGTGAGATGGCAGGAAGACTCTAGAATTCGACCTTATCGGATTTCGTCGTATCTGGAAAATTTAAATCAGAATCGTGTAATTAGCATCAGAACGAGTCAAATTCGGCAAAAATGCTCAGACAAGTGATGCAATGCAACCACCAGTTTAGGCACAGAAAACCATTCAATTCGTCGTGCCGTGACAGATGAGAATAAACGGAGACATGATGCGATAATGCGGTGCCATGCACGCGACACTAGGTGTTGTACTTCAGTCCTGACTCACCCAACATAGCAACCTTTTGCCAACCGTAAAGGGTGCACATAGCACAAAATGATTTCAAACTCGAGAACGTTGGACTTAGATCCACCTGCAACACTATTCTCCAGCTCGGACAGCAAAAAGATATGCCGAAAAGCATGCAAGGTTCCACTCGGAGTGAGGAGTGGAAAACTTAACTGGCTAAACTCGACTAAATTGTTCAAGAGGTTATAGAGTCACTCACTGTCGCCATTCTCACTGGGGAGGGAGCGAGTATAGGAGCCAAGAGTGGCGTCGTCCCCTGCGCCACCGGTCATGCGCACAAATTCATCCTGAACATCACTAGGGGCTCGGCCTTTCGTCTCTGGCAGAAAGAAGTAGAGCAGAGCGATGAAGATCACCAACAGACCAATGAACGGCATGAATGAGAAGTCCTTTAGGTATTTCTGGAAGGTGAAAATCGCTGTTACGAGGCAGCTGTGGACAGTCATAGAAGTGTATCATGGTGGCTCAAAAATCCAATGAAGAATCGTCCACCTGAAGTGTGCAGCGTAATAACTTTGTCTTAGGGGAAAGGAGTATTGGTAGCCGGCCTAAAATCCAAAGTCAATTATATTTTCAGTTGACTAAATTAAGAATTCCAAGTTATTACTACTGCTACTACTAAGGTTAAGGAGAGCGCTATCATGGAAAAAGTGATAAAACTTGCCAAAAGCGGAGGGTATCCCAGGCTGATAACAATTTGGGCAAGCCAATTGACGATGACTGTGATCACAATGGCGGGATCACGTGTCTCCTGTACAAACATCTCAGCCACCACAAACCACGGTATTGAACCTGTAGGTGAATCCGATTCGACAATTGAACGGGACCAATACTAAGATTTCAAGCTCCAACTTATACTATCCTGGAGAAATAAATCAAAATTGTAAGCTTAGAAACACAACCACATACCCGGTCCAATGGCGAAGCCACCGACAAAGATGTAGACAAAAGTGATGGCAAGATAGATAAGACCGTAGGCGTGACTGCGAAGAGCCAAGCCAATGGTGATGATGACGGCGCTGAAAAGCATCACACTAAGCCCACCTATAAAGAGGTTTCGTCGACCGACACGTTCGATAAGGAAAACAGAAACCACAGTAATCACGACAATCATTGAGCCCACGCCCAAAGTCGCATACACGGCCTGTGAAGTAAGCCCAATACTCTCAAATAGCGAAGTGGAGTAGAAGAGAGCCTACAGTAAGTAAGCCACTCAAGTCTAGTGCACGGCTTCAAGAACATGCAGGTTACGGAGCTTACCGCATTGATTCCAGAAAATTGCTGGGCCAAGTGGGCTACAACAGCAACGAAGAGAGCCAAACGCAAGGCTTTGATGCGAAAGAGGTCTTTCAAAGGGAAGTTCTATAAGTACTCGAATGGTAGACTAAAGTGAAAACTACAGTACGGTTCTCGCCTTCGTCCTCCTGTTCAGCCAAGAGCCCTGCAATCTCCTCATCAACGACTTCTGCATCGCCTCTAAGCCAGTAAAGGGCGGATTTCGCGCCCTCGAGATCCTGACTATTTAAGAGAATGTAGCGAGGGCTGTCTGGACAGATCCAAAATAACAAAAGCAAGACGATTGAAGGTATGAGTGTCAGCCCTAGAAGGTAGTCTGTACCATCAAGAAATCAAACCGAAGAGATAAGGCCAGAGTTTTGCTGATCCCATTACTTCTTTCAAACCGAGAATTTGCGAAAATAAGATGGCACTAACAACGGCCAATTGGTGCATTATTCCTGACATGCCACGAATATTGATTGGAGCGATTTCCGCAAGGTATACTGGTGCTATTCCGGTGAAAGCGCCTAAACATAATAGTAAAAAGATGAAGGCTCCTTACCACATGCAAATCCGACAAGCACTCTACCAACGATGATCATTTCAAAGCTAAAAGCAGCCTGACACGCCATCATCAAGAGAGACCCAACGGCCATGGGAATGTTGAAAATAAAAAGTGACAGCTTCCTAGAATTGAAAAATACTATTATTATTTACTTTGTGATATTAATAATGACCACTAAGTGGTTTCTTGCACAGTAGTTGCAACTTTAAGAGATGCAAAAAACCCACCGCCCCATCTTATTTGAAACGGAACCGCCGAACACTGCGCCGAATATTCCGCCTATGGGGAAACCAGCAACAACGAGGCTGCTCATTGCCTGAACAAACTCTGAAGAAGGTGTACCGCTTCTGTCTTCACATATGTTTACGATAAATTTTTCAATTAGCTAAGTGATCACGTAAGTATTGAAAAAAAGCCTACCGGGAGAGGACTATTAATAACTCCAGTCTGAAAACCAAATTGAAACGACGAGCCAAACACAATCACCACTGTAGCGAACACGTAGCGAAAGCTAACCATTCTGAATGAGGAGGTAGAAATATACGTTAGAAAAGTAAAGCCGGGTTTTTATATGTCACAATAGTCTAAACGAAAGTATGGTAGAAAATCGACCAAAGCACATACAGCCCACATCAACACAGGATAGTGGATAAGATTCAAGAAAATCAAAAAAGCCAGCCAGATCAGAAACTGACTAGTGGAGCATTGGGTAAGTGAAGGGATGGTAGGAGTAAAAAGAGCCAATGAAACCGTGGCGTGGAAAAAATGGAAAAGAGCTGTCAGATAAATATCTGTAAACAACAGCTAAGTTTCGCAGGCGAAGCATTACTGTTAATACGACAAACCAAATGAATATACCTGCGATGGTGACAAAGAGAACGGACGCACGAGCGCCCATTGGCTTACTGTTTGGTAAAGTATCGCAGAACGCCCATACGACCGCCAGTGAAAATTAGACGGCACGATGCATGTAAGTGCAATTAGATGTATTAAAACAAACATACCGTTGGGATGAGGCACTGTATCACGTGCTTTAGAGACTGAAAAAGACTGCTGTAGGAAGCAAAAATATTGCAAAGTAATAAGAAAAGTGTCTGTAATATTCGAAAAAATTCGAATTGTAACAACAAATTTTGTGAAATCAATGATATTTTGAATGGGAAAAACTTACTCGAATAAGTACGATCCTTGCTACAATTATTCGGTTCCCACTGTTTTCTGTAAAGGAGAGGTGCAAGGTTAGTTTGACCGCTACTTTGGTACGCATATTAGATCCCCCTTTTGCTCGTATCCTTTAATTCGTTAATGCAATTGTAGGACGTCCCCGTAGTAACCGCCTGTCTACCCTCTGATCCTTGGTCTTCAGGCTTCAAGAGGAGGTTGGTTGCAGACGCTTTATTAGACATTGCTATTAGAAAGTATGGGTGAGTTGGAGATATGAAACGGAGGGAGACTCCTCGCCAACTTCACGCACGTGACTTACGGTCACGTTTGATCCCCGCCTCTTACCTACAAAGCTACACTTAAACAAAATAATATATCTTAAACAGCCCCTTCTCTCTCGAGCACCGCTTCCGGTGTTGACCGGTGGGATTCCATCGGACGGATACTCTTTCTTCGATACCGTATGGACTTCGTCTTCATAACCTACTGGGAGCGGATCCGTATATGGCCTAATCTTGTTATGATGTATTGTTTGAGGTCGCATTCCGCATCCCGAATAAGGTAATTCGTGGGCAACAGGACTTTGACTATCTAATAGGGTTCCGATGGGTTCCTAGCGGGGGAATTGGTCTATACATTTGCACCAAATCGCCGTCTTTAAAGACGTTTTTTTTGGCTCTGTCTATAGTAGGACCTCTTTTGCCCAGCGTATGTTTTCTTCATCTGCCTGCGCGCGGCGTCAAACATTTTTCTGAGGTTTTCCTTTAGTCGCAAGACGTACTGAGGCGTATTATCCCCTGCCACTTTCTTACGAGGAAGCAAAATGTCCGAAAGAACTCTCATTTCACGGCCCGTGAGAATCTTGAATGGTGAGACTCCAGTTCAGGTGTGATCAGAGGCTCGGTAGACAAGGGGTGCCCGTCTTGGATGTAGATCCCAATCATCGGGTTGCACCCCTTTGGTAAAGGCCTTCAATAAGTCGACGAGAGTACGATTTGTCCTCTCTACTTGTCCATTGCGTCGTACGCGTCTTACCGATTCCAAATGCTTTGCATAGCTGTTTGAAGAGACAACTTTCGAAGTTCGCCCCTTGGTCACTATGTACGGAATCAGGCACGCCGTGTCGGCAGATCCAGCGGTTGAAAAATGTCATTGTTACCGTCTCAACATCTTTCGCCTGCAGTGGCTCGGCTTCTGCGATTTTGGTGAAGTAGTCTACCATCACCAAAATATAACAGTTTCCTCTCGAAGTCGTGGGAAGAGGACCTATGATGTCAGTGCCCACTCGCTCTCCTGGAAAGCCCGTGGACATCGACTGCAGAGGAGCTACCCTCCGTGCTAGTTGGGTTCTTTAAGCTGGTACATGTGACACATGCGCGGCAAAAATCAGAGGCGTCATGGCCAAGTTGCTCATGCAATTCCAACAGTGATGGCTGCACCAAGGAGCCGGGTAATACGAGACGCTTAGAACCTGCCTCATTATCGTCTTTGTACCACATTATATCATCCTCTAAAGAGAGATTTTTCCAATTCCGCCAAATTTGCTTGGCTCTCTTGCTCGCCAAACTCATCTCCTTAACTGTGGGCTTGGCTAAGGACGTCCTCAGTCTTTCATAGACTAAAGCTGTATCGGGGCCGGAGCTCTGCATAGTCCTCCAGTAATGGGAAGTGGACTCGCTCGGTAACAGCGCATCTACTGTGTTGCCATCCGTGGACGGTGATAAGGGTCGCCGTGACAGCGGGCCCGCATTGCTGTGAGAGCTTCCTTTCCTATATTGCACTATAAAATCATATTGCTGAAGCTTCTCATACCACCTTTCAACCGAACTATCGATCTACTTCACCGTCTTCGGCCATGTCAGTGCTTGATGGTAAGTCCTCACAACGAACTGCTTTCATATCAAGTGGTGCCTAAAATGTCGGACCATCGTACAAATAGCGAAAAGTTCCAGTTCCGTTGCACTCTTCTGTTTAATTTTTTGCTGAGACGTGAGCTGGCATACGCGATCACATGTTCTCTCCCGTCCTTGTCTTTCTAGGATAGGACGCCGCCCACCACCTCGTCGCTTGCGTCTGTATCCAGCACGAAAGGAGGAGCCTCAGCATTAGAGTTTGGTAAAGACAAGATCAGTGCGGCGCAGAGTGCGCGCTTCAACTCCTTAAACGCTTCCGCGTGTTCGTTTTTTTAACGAAACTCCTTTTTTGCCTGTTCCCCTGTCAACTTGTATGGGTACTTGCGATCTTGGCGAACCCTTTTACAAAACGCCGGTAATAGTTAGCCAAACCAGGGAAGCTGCGAAGTTCCGTTTGGTTTGTAGGTGTTGGCCAAGTCCTTGCTTTCCTTGTTCTGTCTTCCTTGACCGCCATCCCGTCTGCAGAGATTGTGTGCCCCAGAAACGTGACCGACTTTTGGAAAAACTGCACTTCTTCGGATTCAACATCAGACTCGCTTCCCGAAGGCGATCAAGTGCTAATCGGAGGTTGGGCTTATGTTGTTTGTTGTCTCTCCCAAACACGAGGAGAGGGAATAGACCACGCAATGCCATCTGCATTAGACGCTGGAAGGTAGTTGCCGCGTTGCGAAGCCCAAAGGGCATCGTTTGGAAATTGTACAGTCCATTTGGCACAATGAAACCTGTTTTTTCTCTACCCGTCCGTTCGTCTACCTCAGGCCCTTGAACCTATCACTTCATTGAAGGATCTGCTTGGGAATATTTAGCAGGCATTGTAATATATATTAGTTTGTTTAAGTTGACTTTTATAGGAGAGAGGTGGGAACCCATTAAAAACGCGAATAACGTGCGCGAAGACAGTGAGGAGTCTCTCTCCAGTTGATATCTCCTATTCGGCTCATCTGCATCCCAATCCCCATTCTTCCTGCAACAAATGCCAAATAAATCATCTGCGACTAACCCTTCCTTGAAGCCTGAGGTTTAAGGACAAGAACATAGGTCGGCAGCTCTTACAAGTATCTTGTACAAAAAAGGAATAGGAGAGCGTTGATGAGACAAAAAGCCGCTGTAAGCTTGCAGATGTCTCTTTGCGCTCCTCGCCATGAGATTGCGCTGAACCTTCTTCCATTAAAGACCACATTCAATCCAACTATTTTAAACAACTGTGTTATGCCCATGCTCAAATGTCTAGAGATCCCTGTAGCCTCTTGAGATTTCCCAACAGGTAAAAGAAGGTATTAGTTTAGGCTGAATGCATGTATTCTAAGAATAGGTGGGGCATTACGACTGAGCTTAGCTCGAAGCCCAGCTCACGCTTACAAGGGCCAGACAAACACCAGGTGGCCACATGAACAAAATATTACGATCTCTGTACATGGTGTTTGCCCTACAACCACCCATAACTCCAAACCCAACTGAGAGTATCGAGAAGGTTATATGCATTTCTTTAGTCTCATGCGAATAAATGAGTGACACAGAGTGCTCGCGTCATGAAATGGCTAGCAAAAAATTTGTATCGGGCAGAGCGCGACTTTTGCCACTAAAAATAATGACAAGGGAAATGTGATTTTCTATTTATTTGATTATTATTTTGATGGTTGACACTTTAGTATTTATCATGCCCTTATTTGTAGTACTGGCATTTGGATAAGGCCAATGTAAAATCATGACTCCTCCTTGAATGCATTTAGTTAGTTCTACTTAATGCCTTTCTCTGTAATATATACTAGTGTTTAAGTGAGCCTTTATATGGGAGAGGCGAGAAGCATGAGGGCTGTAGCGTCCCGAGCCTTCCCATAGGGTGGAAGAAGGCATTAGTGAGGTTGAATTCATGTATTCCGAAGGCGACAGGGCAAATAAGGCCTGAGCATGGCCTGAAGGCCAGTCCACCTGCACAGGGGCCAAAAAATTCTCAAGTGACCGTCAAACGTCGGGTAGTCACATAATAAGGCATTACAGTATAAGCGATGCAAGCACAGTTTCAATGTTTAAAGGTAATTTAATGTTTTGTATTTCGGGCACATAGTTATAGTTTTCCAAAGACTTTAACTTGTCTGCAAAACACATTTTATTTCAATGCATTAAATTGTAAATTGTAAAATAATTTAACATTAATTATGGCAATTTATTTTTAACTAAAATAACGTCATTTAAGTTAAACGAATATTTGCCCTTTGTTTTCTTGTGTTGAAAGTTGACTTAAGGTTTACGCAATTGTTTTAATCGTCATTCGAGCGATTCTTTAAGTGGCTGTGTGGAACATGAAGTTCAATAAGGCTGTCAGTTCATCCAGTCGAAAATCCCGTTTCAGGCACTTTAATGCTCCATCCCACATCAGGCGTCGTCTCATGAGTGCCCCGTTGTCGAAGGAGCTTCGTACTAAGTACAAAGTGCGTAGTGTGCCGATCAGACGCGGAGACGAGGTGCAAATTGTACGGGGCGAACGCAAGGAGAATTCCTCCGCCAAAGTCATCAAAGTGTACAGAAAGAAATTTGTGATTCACATTGAACGTGTCCAGTGTAATAAGAGCAATGGCGTCTCCGTTCCAGTTAATATTCACCCATCGAATGTGAGTAGCCCGCTTTTCTCCTCATGGGTCCCTATTTTTAGGTTGTTATTACTAAGCTGAAACTCGACAAGGATCGACGTAACCTCTTAGAAAGGAAAGCTGCCGCTAAACTCGCAGGTACGGATAAAAACAAGTACACTGAAGAAGTTCTGGAGTCTTAGTGGTGTAAATACATTTTGACTATGTGGATAGCACTTCCCCACTGTCTTGGGTCTCCACTTCTACTATGATCACTAGTCCCGTGGGATCTCGCCTCTATCCTCTATACAACCTCGCGGCGTATTGTGTTCAGTTCTATCTCTTCGCCCTTTGCACATTAGAATTGGTAAGCTACTCGCCCCCGGTATAGGTAGTCGTTTTTGTCACAAGTCATGGCAAGGAAAATGCGTTTCCGTAGTATTTATTTAATTAGGTTCTAGGTCAATTTGCTTCCACTGCGTACTTGCTAAGCATTTGACGTTAAAGAGCAGGAAAGTATGTTGGCTTTAATTTTCGCTGACTCTTTAGATCTGGCGCTGGAGAGTAGGAGGTGGGAGTGGAAGCGAATAAGTTGTATAGAAGCAACAAGACTAGTAGCGATGCCAATCACAACGAGAAAGACGGGTTACTGGTGTAGCTTCAGCGGTTCTATTGACTGAGCTCGATGTCCTTCTCTACCAGTTTCGCGATCGTGGGGTGCATATATTGTTTGTTCGCCTTATAGTTGTTTATCGCTTGTTGTTTAATGGACGGCCAGGCCACCAACGCTCTACAAACAGAGGATAAAGTGGGAGTGATCGAGATCGGTCGTTATGCACGAAGTGTTGAGCTTACTTATAAAGTGGTCTTGTGTATTTTATTCGTCCTTGACTGTTGAGGAACCTTAGAGCGCTGTCCACACCCGGAAGGTATTGCGAATAAAGGACAATCAACGACCACCTATAAGCAGATATGGTTTTACTCCAGCTAACACAGTGGTGTTACGCACTATTCACAATCTACTGGCATATAGTCGTTTTACTCAACTTAAAGGATAAAAATAGATTCGAGACTAACAAAAAACGGATTTCGGCGTTCTTGGAAGTAGACAATGCGAGCATATTGTTGAGAACTAGGAGATTGTCATGCGCAAGAGGTACGCATTTAAGCAGACGTCGCCAGAGTAACTGACGCTGAAGCGGCAGCATTGTCTCATACTGACCACGCACGTAGGCCGCTGATTCGGCATCACTACCCAAAGGGGTGCTCTTTATTCGTTCGGCCACCTTATCCACGACCGTTGATAGTCTTCGATTTGTTCTGCGATGAAACGTGGAGAATTACTTATCTGAAGTCGCACTGAATCATCCGATTTGACCACGAACAAAGAAGGGAAGTTGAACTACCGAAATAACCTAGTAGTTTTCAGTCGACATATTTCAATGAATATCAAAATCGTCACCCAAGATAAAGCTAACCTAAGGACGTATGATGGTATCACAGACGAGTGTTTCAACTATTGCTTTGGCGGTAGTAACATCGAGGATTGAATACGCGACCGCTCGGTCTGATTCATACCAATAATAAAGACGAGTGTTTTCAATGGATTAAATATTTTTGATAATTAAAAGGTGGCGAGGGACTTACTTAGGCACCCAGGGGATCGGGCCGGCTCGATAAAGCCAGGCGTTCCAATCTATCTCCTGGAGAACATTTTTCCCAAGATGAGCTGCCAGGAATTCCATCCACACTCGCGTGCTGACAGAGTGTCGACGGAAATGCGATATATACGATTTCAACCAGGAAAGTATGGCAGCTAAGGAACAAGGATTAGTGAAACAAGAAATCCTGGTACGAGGGATTAAGGGGTGAACGATTCACCACACTCTAATCGACGCAATCAAGTTGGCTGAGGACTATTTAGGGGTGACAGCGACCGATCAGTAAAAATTAAAAGATCGATTCAATCGAATATTCTAGTGTCTGGATCGATACAAATATGCAATCAAACTCACCTTTGCCATACTTATTCTCCAAGAAGTATAGAAAAAGCGACCCCTTTTGATAAGGCACAATGGAGAAGGCGTCATCCATGTTAATGCCCTTCAGGCATGGCACCATCTTTGCAAGTGGATGCCCCTCCTTATATTCTTCTAGCTAAAGCGTTTTCAGAAAAAAATGGCATACCAAGTGGAAACGACAAGTGAAAACATAATGAAAGGTAGTAGGAAGAAAAACTCACACAAACGAGCAGCTCCTCGTAGCCTAGTTCGATGAATAGCTCTCGATAGTCTGTGCCATAGAGGCGCTCCAAGATGAGACCCTCAACATAGGTGGTGTGACCCTCGTTCAGCCAGAAGTGTTCCCAATTGGCGTTGGTCACTAAATTGCCTGTCCATGAGTGTGCAATTTCGTGGGCGATAACTGATGTAAGCGACCTATCCCCAGCCTAGGCAGTGAGAATGAACTGGCTTTGGCCTGACTCAACGAGCAAGGTGGTGGTAAGTATCTATTGTTCTCGTGTAGTGTACATATTAGAACACCGCCCAATCGCCTTTTTCCTTTGTACAGTACCTGAACCCGTTCACTAGTTAAATTTTAGGAAAATAGCTCCAAAAGTTCTGTCCCTGGTAATTTACACACCATGTTTACCAACCAGCACAGCAAAGGGAATGATCATTACATCCCGCATTTGAAATGAACCTAGAACGAGTTCATCTCCAGATTCCATTAAAGCGACACTTGTAATTGCAATATAAAGCGTCAGGTATAAAACAGAATATATAAAACTCATAATTTTCAGGAGGACGCCGAAGTCCTAAAAAAGGATTCATAGAAGAAATAGTCTTTACATAAAGAAGTGTACAACGCATGATCCGAAACACGTCCAGTAGACACTGCCACAAAAAAATTGCCTTTTTTATCAATCAACTTAAAGTGGTCACTTCCCAATATTTCAACTTTTCGTTTGCCATTTTCCAACCAGATATCACCTTCAACGTCCCGCATAGTTCATGCTCGATAGTTTGAAGACATTTATTATGGTACAATCCTTTAATTTAATGCATCGAGAAAACCAATGCAGTTCATCATTATTCCCTCACTAAAAAAAATATAATTTTGTGTTATTTCAAAAACGTCAACTTCTAACTTTTTGCAGCATGAACCACACAATACTGGTCTAAAAGGCTACACAATCATAAGATGGCTAAGGCCAGTTAGTTATGAATAAAAAAAGTAGAACTCGAGAATGCTGACCATTTCATGGGTAATCATCATATGCACAACCAAGAGCAGCACAAACAGGGTCTCGGACTTGGTGGGAAAAACGGTCACCAACGATCAGATGTTTTAGTTTCCAAACAAAACATCACTGCAGCCGTTGCCAAACTGATCCATTCAATTTCTGTCCGAAGTTTACTTTGATGTTTTAATCCAAACCAAGCTGTATACGGCACGAGTTGGCGCAACCAATTATCATAATGCTAATAATAAGACACCTACCTGAGGTACCGAAACTGCGTAGAAGAGAGATGTCAGTGAATGAATGTGTGTGACTTACAAGGAGGCAGGGAGTGACGAAGGTGAGGCAGGGATTTTCCATGCCTCCATATGGAAAACTGGGTGGGAGGACGAGGATGTCGTAGATGCCCCACTCGTAGGTGCCGCATAGACTCTCTGCTACCGCAATCATATCATCGACTCCTTCAAACTCAGCTTTTGCCCATGGCAGCACACTCGGCTCCGCCCACACAAACGATCGCTGTCCAATACGTCTACGTGTAGAAAGTGGGGCATGTGAAAGCTCAACTACGAGGAGCATCACCAAAGCGACCGAAAATCCCCTTGCCTCCACGCACTCATTTTAATTAACCTCGGTTAATCGTGTATGCAGTGAATAAAGGAAATGAAGTTAATCAGTGGCAAATAACAATCTTGCGATATGACTGATTACATAATGATGGAAAGGCGAATGAACGTTATTTTAAACCAATGGGAGCTAAAAACACACCCAGTGGAAAGCGACCAACAATTTCAACGCATATGCGTCCATTTCTACCCTCAAACGATAGCGAACTTTCACTGCAACCACCAAGGTTACTTCAGTCGTGTAAGTTGGTGCCAATCATTTGTGGTACTTTTGCCTCAATGAACTTAAACGCCCTTTAAAACCAACGATAAGCACAGCGCTTTCAAATTCATAATCGATTGTTAATTGCTATGGTTGCGCTCAAGTTAGATCTTCGTACTGATAATTTCCAACTCAGCTTTCGTTTGACTAGTCCATAACAAACCAGTTGTCCACTTCTTTTCCTACTCCATGACCAGACCCAAAAATATGCAAATGAACGAACTTAGAGTGCTTCCATAAAAAAGTTCAGCCAAAGAGAAAGACGTTCCTATTGATTGCCTCTTCTACTCGAAGATTAAACAAACACTTGATCCCTTCCTTCTTTTTACGTTTAGACTCCACTAGTTTTGAGATGCAGGAACGAAACCTTTCTGGCAAAAATAATCAAAGCCAAAATGCTAAAGCATTTATTTTAAATTAAAATCGTGATTATTGTGTCATCTTACTAAATGCCAAATAAGGAAGTTCCATCGCTTCAAACAATGAATTGTGTAACTCAAATATGAGATTACAATTGGGTTTCGCCGTCATCCACGAGTTCGCTGTTTTCCGCAAGATACCCTGTTCCTAATACGGGTTTCAGTGTGACACAAAACACCAGAAACATTAAGACTGTAAGAAGCAAATACTGTGCCAACTGGTAATCAAGTTCCCTAGGACTAATCAGCGATCACGATTTGAAACGACAACATTGTTCATTGTGAAACATAGTTAACTTCGATACACGAAGACTTTCAAATGAATATGGAAATGCTTTGAAAAAGTTTGTAAATAAAAAAGCGAAAGGAAAATGAAAACCAACAATACTTTGAAGTGTAAGGCATTCTAATCTAAACCCGTTTACCTAAGCCGCCCTTTTTGAAGTTAGTTATACAAGTTTCTGGTCCCAGCTTTTAGCTCAAAAAACGAGGTAAACGCTTGATAGAACTGAACTGAAGTGTCACCACCCAGCATCATGATAGAGTTCAGCAAAAACAACATAATATAACATAGTGGCATAGAGGCCAGTTGGATGTGGCGCTACAAAGTAAACGGGAGGAGTAAGCTTCTGCAACCGCATAAGCAACAGCGATGGGGTCAAAGTTAAAACATGACAGGGTCGGTAGCGGAGGTCATGGTGGTGACTGCCAACTCACGGCGGACAGCGCGATAGTAACGATGCCGCTGCAGCACTCACACACAGCAACACGACTGACAGTCGAACAGCAAGTACCCAAATCATATTTAAAACGACTTAAATGGTGTGCTACATCAAAAAATGCTTCTGCTTAAGCTTTAATAACGATAGATGAATCCCCACCAGTAATATACTTTGAAACTGAATTAAGGGTTAACATTGTCGTTTATTCCAATAATGTTATAAATCGACGCAGTTGCTTTCTTACACGTGAGCAAAAGTTTAAAAAAGTTATCAGAACGCAACTACAAAGAAAGGATGAACAGGAACACTATCGTGCAAAAAGGCAGTGCCACCGAGTTCGCAAAAAAACCCGGAAAAAGCAGTGTCAACATAGCCCTGTGCTAAACACAACAGCCCGTGCCCT